GTTCCGCATCCCTGTTTACGTGCCTGAGTCTTAGGGGCAGGTCGAAACAATGAGGGCCTGAAAATGGCCCTCCGTTTCAGGCTGGAAAAACTCTGGGTCTGAAAGACCCAGAAATAGGCTGAAACAGAGTAGGGCCTGCATGCCCTCGTTTTTCAGCTTTCAGGCTGAAACGACCGGGGCCTGTAAGCCCTAAGTTTTAGGCTTTTAGGCTGAATGTCGGGGACAGGCCCTGCAGGGCCCGTGTGGCTATGCAGTATGCCACACCCCCCCCTCCTTGAAGAACTGAGCTTACCTGCGAGGGCGAAGCTGTCTGTTTGAGGGAGGGACCATAGTCCGGGTGGGAGGGGCTGGTCGTGACGCTTCCTGAGCTAACCTCCGCTTTTCATAATGCGCGTAGATCATCAGTGCGCCTGAAATCCACCGAGTGTCGTCGCGATCACATGCTTTGAATGTGACTTTGCACTGCCGCGGCTTGCTGCCGTACTTGGGATCGGAGATGACGCAATCAACTTCCTGATGACCATCCATAGAGGGAGGGTCCTGCGATCGTCGGCCCGGAAAGTCGTCTCTCTTGGCTGGCGTGTATGTTGCCAGCTTCGAGGCGTGGAAGACCGGATGGACCGTTAGATGCTCTGGAATGTTGATCACAAATGAAGGGCCATCGGGCTCATTGTCCGCGGGTGCTGTCACAGACCAAGGTCCAAACCACTTGGGAAGAAGTTTGCGTGAAACATCCTGTTCCAGTGCAAACTCTTCCGCGGAGACCCAAACCAGATCACCGGSGCGGATGGGACATGGTACGCGACGCCTGTTGGCTTGCTGCTGCATGCGGACTTGAGCCTTTTGCATATTTGTGCGGGCTTGAGTCAGTAATTCCCTGTACTTCCGGACGGAAGCGGTAGAGCAGGCAGCGTCAATGTCGGCTGGTCGAGGGAGGAGAATGTCGGCGAAGATACGGCCTTTCCGTCCACCGTGGGTGCAACTCGAATGGAGTCACGCCGATCGCCGAGTGCACCGAAGTGTTGTAGGCGAACTCGATGTCGGGGAGGCGGTCAACCCAATCTTTCTGGTCCGGACGGATGAGCGTACGAAGCATCATTTGAGCGGTTTGATGTGCCCGCTCCGTCTGCCCGTCTGTCTGAGGATGCGGAGCCGAACTTGGTTTCCTTGTTGTGCCAGACTCGTGCATGAGAGCAGTCCAAAACGCTGACATCAAACGAGTGTCGCGGTCGCTGACAATGTCTTCTGGTACACCGTGGCCACAAATCCAACCAGTGTGCAGTACTTGCAAGGGAGAAAACACGCGTCCTTACTCAATCGGTCCACAACCGTGAGGATGACGTCGTGCCCGAGCCGGTCGCGAGGAAACGGACCGGTGACGTCCATGGCAATKGAGAGACCGGGTTCCCGTGGGATAGGCATGGGGTGTAACTCGCCATAGGGATTGCGGTTGCGGGGTTTGCTGCGTTGGCAAACTTCGCACGAGTCGCAATTACGAGTGACATCGGTAGAGGTCAGGCCATCGGAATTGTTGTCGAAGCCGTGCAATAGTGAGGTTGACTCCGAAATGGCCGGCGAGTCGCGAATCATGATACTCGTCGAGGAGGCGAGTCCGAAGACGACGGTCGCATGGGACACATAGTAAGTCCTTGCCTCTCGAGTGGAGGAGCAAGTATCCGTCGACGATACGATAGTGGCTGGCCGGCGGGTGATCCGAAAATAGTTGTGCGTACAGCGTGGCGAAGTCCGGATCAGACTCATATGCCCGGATGAAGTGTCGCTGAAGCTCCTCGTCGAATGCGAAGGCATGATTTGTCATAGCGCAAAGATCTGGTCTTCGCGAGAGTGCATTTGCTCTGGATTTGAGAGGCCGGGTAGATGTTTCGGTGTGAAGTCAAACTGGTCGATGAAGTACATCCATCGTCCGATCGTGCTGCTCATCGTATCCTGCGTCTTGTAGTAGGTCAATGGATTGTTGTTCGTAACCCATGTGAACCTACGATGCCCAAGGAGGAAGTGCCGCCATCGCTTGAGAGCCATGAYGAATGCGAGCAGCTYCTTCTTCCTTGCATCATCAAGCRAGTTGATGGGAGGCACTTTGTGGCAGTCGTCGCCRTCGTGCTGTTCCAAGACTRCCCCAATGCCATAGCCGGAAGCGTCCGTAGTCACTCGCGTCGGCAGGGTGGGGTCATAGATGCTAAGGACGGGTGCCATGAGCATGGCCGTCTTAAGTGCTTGGAATGAACGGTGTGCGTCGTCATCAAATACGAACGGCACCTTTGGCGACTGTAACCTCGTCATAGGTGCAGCAATTCTTGAGTATCCGGTGATGAATCGTTGATAGTAGCCCGCCAATCCCATGAATGAACGAACGTCCGTGGTGTTGGTGGGCTCGAGCCATACTCGTAGGGCCTCGATCTTGTCCGCAAGCGGACGAATGCCTTGCGGCATCACATAATGTCCCAAGTACTCCAGCTCCTGTCGTGCGAATTCGCACTTGTCGCGGTTGGCCTTGTACTTGGCTTGTCGTAGCTGCTCCAAAACGGTGCGCAGGTGTTCCACATGCTCCTCCAAACTCCGGCTGTAGACCAGAATGTCGTCGAGGTAGATAAGTACGAAACGATCCAGCATATGTCGGAACTCCATTGTCATAGCCGCTTGGAAAGTGGCCGGGGCATTCGTAAGGCCAAATGGCATAACCARCCATTTGAAATGCCCATATTGCGTCTTAAACGCGGTCTTGTAACGGTCCTCCTTGCAAATCTTGAGTTGGTGGTACCCTGACTTGAGATCCAGCTTAGAGAAGAACTGGGCGCCGCCCAATCGCTCGAGAAGGTCATCCATGCGTGGGAGAGGGCCGGCGTTCCTGATCGACTGCTCGTTGAGCTTGCGATAATAGATGCACAACCGCAGGTGCTTGTTCTTCTTCCGGACTAAGAGAACAAGAGCACCGTATGGCAATGAGCTAGGCCGAATCCAACCTTTCTCCAGAAGGTCGTCGAGTTGCGCCCGAAGTACACTTAACTCTTTCTCGCTCATTCGGTAGATGCAACCGCGCGGAGGTACGGCCCCGTCCTCGAGGATGATCTTGTGGCGGATGGGTCGATCCGGTACTACTCCGTGTGGGCCTTCGAACACGTCGCTGTAGGCGTCGAGAAGCTTGGTGATGCGTGGATCCGAAGGTGAGTCCGTCGATGAAGCGTCATGGGGCGGGAGGGCGTGGAGAAAACACACCCCCATCTCCTCGATGTCGTCTTTGATGATGGAAGCTCGCATGCTTGCAGCGGATACCACGTGGCAGTTGATCGAAGGATGAGGAAGAGGCACCATGCATGGAACTAGTACTCCGTTCCGATCACGAATGTGAACGGTGGGGTGGAAGAAGTTCACCGGGTGATCCTTGCTTCGCAGCCATGACAAGCCCAAGATCATGTCAAATTTGGTGTCCAAAATGTCAAAGGACACCGCCTCACTTGCGTGAGGGGCAAAGTACACTGGGACGTTGTCAATGCACCGGTGTGCCGGACCCGCCGGGATGGCGGTCCGACAGGATGGAGACGAAGGGTAGACGAGGGAGGAGATAGAGATGGAGCTGGAAGGGACAGCGCAGCTCCGACGCAGACTCAACACGCACGTACTCCAAGATCTGCCCAAGTGAAGAATCCCGAAAAACAAACCAGTGCTGGGGTATACCCCCAGCGAACTGACTGACTGGACTGGACTGGCCTGGTACCGACAGTGGTACCGAGCAGGACTAGAACAGCACACAGCCTGTGGAGTCAGGCCACGACGTGGTCCCACAGGCCGAACTGGGCAAATAGCCAAATAGGGCCAGGCTGTAGGCCAGGGCAGATGAAGGCCCGCTGCACGATCCTCAGACCTGTAATGGATCGCAAGAGCCATAAACACGCTATCCGCAAAAGCAGCGGAACTATGCAATAAAGAAAGTTGAGAAATCTAGGATGCGGAGCAAGCTCCATGCGGAGTCCAGGCGATGCATCCTAAGCTCCATATTGTCAAAAGAAAAGCAAATGTATGGTATACATATCCTAGCTATCAGCAGAAAATGAAATGTAGTATGATTCAATCCTAAAGTCCTGGAGGCAGTGGCCTCAGTGCTGAAAGGAAAAGGGCAATATGTCACAAGATAATGTCATGTTGCTGAACCACTAAGAGTGGGATGGTCTCAGAGGTGGTGAATGCAGCCTAAGAATCGAAACTCCTAAGGGCAGTCATACATGAAGGTGGGATAGGTCATCAGGCTCAAGGTGGGAGAGTGGTAGCGAAACAAAACCAATGACCCTAACAGATAGACCATCAAGGCGGGTAATGCTCGACAAAAGGGTGACACCATGCAAGGTCGACCATGAAAAGGGGAGCCTGGAATAGGGTGGAGCTATGCCGAACTGGAGGCATGCAATAGCCGGCTCTAGGGTGATGAGGGCAGTGGGTGAGGGAAACATGCACACAACTCACCGACTGGGAGAGGGAGCTAGATCTGGGAGCAAGGAATCCCAGATAACGCTACGGTCCCAATGCCTATGCGATACCAAGGGAGAGCCAAACTCAAAGAGACCTAGGTAAGTGAGAACCATCATGCGACAGGGGCAAGGGAGTATGCAGGGTAGGGTGGTGATGTGAAGTAGTCACGTCCAAAGTAGCTGAAGTCGATGACGTCGATGAAGTAGCAGTGGAGTCGATGTTGAAGCAGAGCCGCAAAACGCTCACATCCTGAAGAAGAGCTGATGATGGAGTACCTGAAGGTGTGAGTCAGTGGGGAAAGATAGAGGATAAGAGTGTTGGTCATAGTAACGCGAAGGGCGACGATGAGTGCGCTGTGGACGCTCGGAGGCGACCGTCTGCGGTTGAGGAACGACCTCAGAGGGAGTGGGCTCGTCCTCAGCAATCTCCTCAGCCGGAGGAGGAGGAAGAGGGTCAGTCGACTGAGTAGAAGCAGATGTCTCAGCACGATGAGCACGATCATATGCACGCACCAACATCCTGGTGTGCTGCAAGTGCTCGAGGGGCTCCCAAGTAGCCTCGTCATCAGGGTAGCCCTTCCAACGCACAAGGTACTCGATGCGTTGTCGGCGTGAATACCCTTACAAGGGTATCCGCCCTGGTTTTTGCAAGTGACAGAAGATAAGGCTTGTTCAAAATCTGAGTATACCGTGAGGAGTCGCGGTTGTGTTTGGTTCGCGTTCAATGAATGGTTGACGGGGAGTAGAGTGTGTGTGGGCGCGCAGTTTTAAGGCGCGCGTGATGAATTTTATTCTTGATGTTATAGAGTCGGCGTTTTCCGCCGGCAAAATTTTTGACCTTGATTAAAACTAGGAAAAGTTTTTTTTTATTGGAGTAACCATGGTACGTCTGCGTCATGCGTCATCGGAAGTGGTGTTGCCCTGTGCAGTAATTGGAGTGTGTGAGGGAAAGTAGAACGCAAGCAGTGAGTGACCTCCGCGCGATAGATGCCGGAGGTTGACGGTCGTGGACGGAGCCAGGCCCTGTGAGCGGCAGGCGCCATAGGTCGGCCGTCGTGAGTTTGGTCTGTGGGCACAAGAGTAACCTCGATGTATTTTGGTAGGCTCGTGTGCCGTGCGGCAACAATTTATACTGATTTTTGCAGTAGTCCGTCTCAGCCTTGGGTACTAGCACTATTGGTAACGGCATTGGACTTTCAAAGCGATGGTACAGGGATCGAAGGCGGTGACCTACGAGGATGGAACATTGGAGCGGCTGGAGGTGCCGAGGGGTTGAGGGCCCGGCGGGGCTATCCCCCTTGGTTTTGTTGTCGGCCCATCCGTAGGCCCGGTCGACGGAACTGAGAGTAGTACTGGTGGTCTCCCTTCCCCAAAAAGCACCATCGTATTTTTTATTTTTTTATTTTTTTTTTTTTGCCTGTCCCGTTTTTTTTGGGACGCGGCAGCAGCTTCGGTACCAAGGTTGTTTGCGGGGTACCAGCTAGCGAGGCGGGAGAAACCTGGGTAGCGTGGCGTCGTGGGCCCTCCGCAGTTGCACCATCGCCAACCACGATCTGCTGTGGGAACTGAGTATGGGCACGTTGATGGGGCCAGTGTCGGTGCCGGTGCTGGTTTTGGAACCATTGCTGTGGGAACTGAGTATACCCACGATCTGGAGTGAGAGGTTGGGGAGTGAGCATCCCTGTTGGGTGTGACAAGGTGCGGGGCCGGTCACACAGACTTGTCAAAGATCCTAAGGCTACCATTATGTGTGCTCATTTGTCAACAACCTGCGTAGCCGTGGGGTAAGGGGATTTGCGGTCACATCTGGCGGTGACCGCAGATACCCTACGTTCATTTATTTATTTTTGGCATTATGYTTGRGCAGGCAAGAACTTTTGCACAGTTYAAGTACCATTTTGTTGKTACTGCAGACGGCCAGGGCTTTGTCCCATCTGAAAAAGTACAGCAGTGTGACCTGAACCATACCCAACACCTTGAATTGGTATGTGACAGTCCCAAAATCTGCATTATTCGCAGATTTTTGGGGCCACAGTGTGAGCATTCCCGTTGGGACCCGAAGGAAGGAGAACTGTGCTTGGGCACAGCAGGGAAGGGCGTTGGCTGCAACAACACTGACTTTGTCCAGCTGAGCATTTGGAACCCTTCTCTACTTCAGGCTTCAAAAGCCCTCACTTAAGGATCTGTTACCACTCCCAAGATCTGCACAAGGACCCGCTGGCTTAGCACAGTCGGTACACCCCTGAACTGCTGATATAAGGGGTCAAGCTCGAGCCCAGAAGCTTTTTGAGTGGGAAGGCATGCAGCTGTAGCCAGCTGGTCACATGGAACCCCCCCCTGCGGCTGTTTTATTTTATTTTTGTTTTTATTTATTTTTGTATGCCCCTTTGTTTCCAGTTGGGATGCGGCCTGGTTCCAGGACTGGCAAAAGTACCCAAGAGCCTAGCTCTGTGGATACACCCGTACCCAAGAGCCTAGCTCAGTGGATACACCCATGAGCTGTTGAAGTGCAGACCCAAGCTCAAACCCGGATGATGGGATATGATGAGTAAAACCAAATAAGGCTGAATTGCCTGGGACCGGACTCTTTGGTGCTGTCCTTCGGGAGATACAGAGAAGATTAGCATSGCCSCGGCACAAGGCTGGTTCRCATAAATAAAGAGGTTAATCTCTCTTTCCGTTGCTAATGGGGAGTGCCTTCCGAGAGGGTAAGGCAGCGCAGGCTACCAGGAGGGTGAAGTTGGAAAGAGAGACAACGGAAGAGGAGGAGAGACGGAGGA